GCTGCGCCTGCTGCTGCTGCTGCGTCTGCCGCACTTGCTGCAGCGTCTGGGCCCTTCTTTGCCCCAGAAGAGCTCCGGCAGAACTGTGCTGCTGCTGCCGCTGCTGCTGCGCTGCTGCTGCTGCTGCTGCTGCTGTTCTCTTCGTCGCTGCTCTCACTGTCTTCAAGGCTCTGGTCTTCGGTGATAGAGCTTGTGGGCTGCTGCTGCTTTTGCTGCTGCTGCTGCCTTCGCTGTTTTTGCTGCTGCTGCTGCTTTTGCTGCTGCTGCTGCTTTTGCTGCTGCTGCTGCTTTTGCTCATGCTGTTGCTGTTGTGATTTCCTCTGGTTTTTTCGCTGTTTTGTTGCTGCAGCATTGGGGAGCCCCTGCTGCTGCTCCTGCTGCTGCTGGTGCTCTTGCTGCTCCTGCTGCTGCTGCTCCCTGTTTGCTGGCAGCTTTTGCTCCTTCGTCTTTTTTGATTTTGCTGCAGTATTAGAAGGTGCAGACAAATCTGCTGCTGCTGCTGCTGCTGCCTCGACACGCCTTTTCTTCTGAGGAGCAGCATCAGCTGTTGTTGCTGCTCCTGCTGCTGCAGCAGCAGCAGCAGCAGCAACAGAGTTGCCACCCTCCTTCCTTTTGTTAGCTTTTACTGCCATTTTAATTAAAACTCAAAATACCAACTGCAGCAGCAGAGAAAGAGTTGCTGCTGCTGCTGCTGCTGCTGCTGTGGGGCCCCACGGGGGCCCCATAGGGCACGAGGCCCCCGAGGTGTATAGGCAGCTTGCTGGTACACTCGAGCAATTGCATCTGGTGTTATTTATTTATGTTTATTTGTTTATTTATTTTTATTTATTTATTATTTAATTATTTATTTATTATTTGTTTGTTCATGTATATTGATTTGCTTTGTTGTTTGCCCTCAGATTCATTGCTTCAGGGCGCTGGTGCTGTTGCTGCTGCTGCTGCTGTTGCTGCTGTTGCTGCTGCTGCTGCTACAAGGCTTTTATTTTGTCTTGTCTTGCAAAATGTGGACTCTTTGCAAATGTGAGTGGTAGCTAGCTTACCCTTTTATACCTAATCCCTAAACCCTAAACCCTAAACCCTAAACCCTACGCCCGACGGTTTTATATGATCACCAGCGGCTTTGCCTTTTGCATTTGCTGCTGCGACGTTTGCCGCTTTCTTTTGCTCATTTATAGCTGCTTTCTAGGGTTTAGGGTTCAGGGTTTAGGGTTTAGGGTTCAAGGCTTAGGGCATTGTGTCTAGGGTTTAGGGTTAGGGCTTAGGGTTTACGGTTGAGGGTTTAGGGTTTAAGGCCCAGCGTCTACGGTGTAGGGTATAGGGTTTAGGGTCTAGGGTTTAAGGCCTAGGGTATAGGGTTTAAATCTTGGGTTTAGGGATAAGGGTTTAGGGTTTAGGGTTTAGGGTTTAGGCAAGAAGGACAAAGGGTTTGTAAACCCTCAACCCTACTGCTTGTTAAACAGCTGCAGCAGCAGGGGCCAAGCCCTGAATCTAGAGATTAGGGTTTAGGGTTTAGGGTTTAGGTCTTAGGGTTTAGGGTTTAGAATATCAGAAAAAGGGAGCCAGACACAAGCTTCAGCGGGTCAACTTAACAGCAGCAACAACAGCAGCAGCAGCAGCAGCAGCAGTCCCTGCTGCGGCAAAAGCAGCAGCAGCAGCAGCAGCAGCAGCAGCAGTCCCTGCTGTGACACAAGCAGCAGCAGCAGCAGCAGCAGCACACTGCATGCACTTATGCTGCAGCCAAAAGACACAGAAGCTTTTTCGGGCCTTCGGCAAAAGGAGACGCAAGGCCTCCAAGATTAGGGTTTAGGGTTTAGGGTTTAGGGTTTACGCCTCGCTGGCGATATTAACAGCCTAAGGCTCTTAGGCCATGTACCAGTGGCTGTAGCTAGCTAACTCTCTAGCTAGCCAGCTAGCTACAGCTGTTAGTACATGGCCCAGTAGTTACTTAGCTAGCTAGTTAGCTAGCTAGTTAGCTAGCTAGTTAGCTAGCTAGGTAAAGTTGGCTAGCTACATAAACAATGAGCTCGAGTAGCCAGCTAGCTAGCTACCCAGTGAGTTAGCTAGCCGGCCAGCTAGCTAGCTAGCCGGCTAGCTAACCAGTTAGCTAGCTGGCTAGCTAGCTAGCTGGCCGGCTAGCTAGCCACCTCTCTAGCTAGCTGCCCAGCAACCCAGCCAACAAGACAAACCGCCAGGAGGATGGCTAGCTGCATAGCTAGCTGGCTAGCTGCGTAGCTAGCTAGCCAGCCGAGTAGCTAGCTGGCTAGCTGAGTAGCTAGCTGGCCAGCTGCTTCGCTAGCCAGCCAGTTAGCTAGCCAGGGCACTGCAGGGACGAGTCTCTGGGGTGTACGTACACCTCAGGTGTCTGAGGTGTACGTACACCTCAAATAGCTGAGGTGTATGTACACCGCAGGCACTGGGGTGTACGCATAGTCCAGTAAATGAAGAGTAAATAAATGGGAAGACAAAAAGAATGCATTTGAGGGGGAAAAAACAACAAAAGTGCCCTGCAGCAGCAGCAGCAGCAGCAGCAGCTAGCTGCATTTCGACGGGGCGAAGCAGCAGCAAGGGCGGCTGCGGCTGCCCGAGGGGGTGTACATACTCCTCAGAACGCGCTGGATAAGAACAAGAAAAACCTTTTAAATTATTTAAAATAAAAATAAATTAAAAGATAATTTAAAAATGAACAAAAAAGAACATTTTCCTTTCGAAAATTCAATTTGTTCCGCGCGCCGGAGAGCGGCCCTCTTGGGGTGTACAGACAGGTCCTTCGGGCTGCAGCAGCGCTCAGGAACTAATCAAAATAAAAAAGAATAAAGTTGCTAACAGTTTATTATTTAATTAATAATGCAGCAGCAGCAACTGCTGCTGCTGCTGCTGCTGCTGAGGCCTTGCTACTGTGCTGTGCTGCCAA